CTATAGTCATAATAAATCACGTTATATAATAGGGTTTTAAAGAGGAATTTATGGATTTAATTTTAGGATCTAGTAGGTAATTTGCTTGATTAAATAACAGAATTTTAGGGATCGGAAGAGGTCACTACGACTCCCGCAATGTCACACAACCAAGACAATCAGCCGAAATTCAAACCAATTAAACCTAATTCTCACACAATCAAGATTACACAACCAAGACAACAATTAAGCAGTAGCAAAATGACAATAACACCAAGAATACTAGGAAGAAACGATAATCATCAACACACAAAGATTATACGTGGAAAACCCCTTCGATGTGAAGGATAAAAACCACGGGACTGTTTAAGGAGTCCACCCTAGCTTCTCTTATTGATAATTGAAGGTAAAATAAACCCAAATCAGTCTACACAAGGTTTACACACCCACCATTCCACCACCAACAACAAACAATAAGAGATTGAAATTAGAGAGTGAAAAGAGTAGAATTCACCCAAAAGACAACAGTTCTATCCAGAGACTTTTCTGACCAAAACAGAGCTCAAACTGACGATCCAAATTTCCAAAATGAAGCCCTTGATGTCAGGAATAAGCTGTCAAAATTTGAGCACGATCCAACGGTGAAAACTCGAGCAACAACCAGTTTTGTAAAGGTTGCCTAGAAAAATCCAAAGTTGGGAGCTCTTATAAAGAACCCTAACTCTCTCCCTATTTTGTGCGTGTGAATGCTCAGCTCTTAGCTGCTCTTTTACACCACATAACTGTCCTTATTATGAGGAAATACAAGTCGATCAGCCAGATTTACAACTTCAGCAAATCAGCGGGCAATTTCGTCCTTTTAATGTTATTATTGGGGGCAATTTTGTCAGCACAACCAAATTTAAGAAAGACAAAGCAATGACTTGGCAAACGTCTGGTTTAGTCAAACTAACGACAAAACAGTAAATGTCGTTTGCCTCCGTTACAGTCGAAAAACAAATTCGTACGACGAATTGAAGGGGATTCCCCCAATTTGAAATCCTAAATTGAAACCGCAAAGAATTGGAGCTGTTCCAGGAATCACATTCAAAGGGCTTTAGCAATTTATACTACAAAACCTTTTTCGATTGCAACGGAATGCGATTCGATTGAGATTTGGGCCAGTCGAAGCGACGGATTGAGAGGAATTGAAAAGCACGGCAAGAATGATGGAGTGAAGGCGTTTTCTTCCAATTTGCTTATTGGTACCTACTACTTGTTTAAGATTGGAAATTATTGATAAGATTAACATTGTGTTGTAGTGTTTTGATATTGAAGAATTATTATGCCAGACTAAATGGTTCATGAAAGCAAGTTTCTGTTTCCAGCAATGTTTAAGGAGAGAATTTGAAATTACCTGGGCAAATTGCAAAGCAATGGCGTCAGGAGTTTAAAGTAACGCGATCTAGATACTCTCGCTAAAGGTCTTCTCCGGTGCACGTTCTTTCATCTCCTCCAATGGGCACAATGAATACACAGTATGCAGATGAAGATCTAGAACTGATTTCTCCATTTTTTATTTTCTTAATAAATTTGTATACGACGTTAGTAACGCCTGTCCTAACGTCCATAAAACGACCGTTAACCTTTGCCAGATCATCAAACGTTAAGTAGAATATAAAATTGATTTGTTTGACAAGGGGGCCCACTAAAGCGACTGATTGACATTATTTCGTCAATCAGGTTGATTGCCTGGGGCGCCCTCCCCTAATTATTACCAAGGGTTACTACCATAAGCTTGCTCCACATTACAACTTAAATCTAAAAATTGGACTTACTTCAACTAGTAAAATGCAATAAAATGGACAGTAAATGGACCAAACGAAAATCATTTTACTATCAATTGGGCTGGATCCATAACAAGAATGTGTTAGCATTTTTTTGGATTTTGTGAATTGCTTATTTTTATCTGAGAATTCTGTTTTTTCGCAAATTCTTCTATGGACGCTAGTCCATCTAGAATAGCTGCACCACGCCTATACTTTTGAACATTTAGTAAAAAGATCTGAACAATTGCAAATTTTAAACATTTAGTAAAAAAAATCCGGACATCGCAAATTTTGAACATTTAGTAAAAATATCTGAACAATCGCAATGTACCACGCCTATATTTTTGAACATTTAATAAAAAAAATCTGAACAGTTGCAAATTTTGAACATTTAATAAAAAAATTTGAATATCACAAATTTTGAACATTTAGTAAAAATATCTGAACAATCACAATGTACCACGCTTATAATTTTGAACGTTTAGTAAAAAAAATCTGAACAATTGCAAATTTTGAACATTTAGTAAAAAATCTGAATACTGCACCACGACTATACTTTTGAACATTTAGTAAAAAAATCTGAACAATCGCGTGTGGTCCAACTATTCTAGCTGGAGCAAGGTGCACAATAGACTTATTGCTGTTTTTTACAATTATTTTAATTGATGAATTGGATTTTTCGTTGCTTGGAACTCTCATTCTCAGGGAAGTAAAATTGGGGCATCGTTTTCAGATTTTTTTGGAAAGCATAATTCTCAATTTCTGGATTGCTATGGCTCAAATTTAATCAAGGATGAAAGCTGAACGTAACATTGATTTAGTCAACAAATAATCACAGGATTGATCTGGGTGATAAGCTTTTGATTTTCCCTTTTTTTTGTTGTTTAATTATGTGAAATCGATGGAATTAGGGTTTCTCTATTGTAATTGGTTTTTTTTCTTTTAATCTCATTTTAAATGAATTTTATTCCTATTAATTTCTGCAATTAATTGATTTTCTCCTTTTTCATTGAGGAAATATAAGTTTATCAGGCTGATAAACTTTGTATGCAAATCAGGGGGTATTAATGCATTTCAGTTATTTAATTGGGGGTATTTTTGTATTTTCATCTCTTTCTTCCTCCACTCTCCATTCCCACCCACCTTCTTCCTCCAAACCAGTAAACCTGCACACCAACGATACCTCCGCCTGTGGCGGTTCAAAATGCCGCTGCGATGGTGATATGTTTAGTTTATATAGTGTTTTATCCCCGTCCCGTGGTCGTTATTAGTCGTGTTTTTGGCTCTTTCGGGCCACTTTTATTACTAATTTGTGTGTTCTAGTGTTTTCGTAGTTTTAGTTGTATTTTACAGGAACTTGCACTCTTGGAGCATTTTCTCGGGCCTTATTGGATCGACTACGGAAGCTAGAAGGACACGACCACTTTTGGAGCCCAAGATCGGTGAGAGCCAGTGATTAAGGGCTCGGTAATTGGGATCACGAGGCATTTGGACCATGTATTCGAGACCCGAGAGGAAATATGGATTGGGCCGAGAAATCTAGCCCAATCGAAGTCCAAGCCTCGAAGAAGAAGACCGGGCCCGATCGGGCAAGCATACGCCCGATCGGGCAGATGCGCGCAAGGGCACTCTCAAGGGAAAGGCGCGCCCGATCGGGTGAGCGTAGGCTCGATCGGGCGCGACACATCAGTATAAGCGTTGTGAAAAAGGCGGGCCCGATCGGGCGGCCCTTCGCCCGATTGGGCGCGTGTTTTCCTAGAGCCTGATTAGTTTATCTTTTTTTTAAAAAAAATTCAATATTAAATGTGACCAATGTTTTTTTTATTATTATAGTGTAGTTATATTTTTTTTTTAAATTCAATATTAAATGTGACCAATGCTTTTATTTTATTATAGTGTAGTTATTTTTTTTTTTTTTTTAAATATCAATATTAAATTTTTTTATTTGTCACTTTGAGTAGACATTAAAGGGAGTAAACTAAAAAATATATATGGTGGAAATATTTGATCCCATCACCAGTGACAAAATTTCAATAGTGAACTAAAGTTGAAATTAAAATGAATTTAGGTTTGCTTATTAATTGAATTATAAATAATAAAACAGTAATATTAGTTACCTCTTTAGTTTAGTTTAGTTTTAATTCGTGTTTTAGGAAAGGTTTAAATACGATTTGTACGGAATTATTAGTTACCTCTTTTCTTAGACTTTCTCTCTCTACTTAGTATTTCTCTCTCTCTTAAACTCTCTCAAAACCTTTGTTCTTAATTAATTCTACTTTTAATTCCAGATTTATTTTGGTAACGATTCATCTTCTCTTAATCTTAGTTATTTATTCTATTCCTTTAAACATGTCTTATTTTATTGCTTTGATTTGTTTAGTTTTTAATATGTGTGAGTAGTTTAATTTCTAGGGTTTATGGGGATCTAATAAATAATATGAAGGGGTAAATTATTGTTGTTGATTATCAATGCTAGATTAATTTCCTATTGATTGGTTTAATGCTCTGTGACTAGATTAGGCCTATCTTTTATGCATGAGTTTGACAATATTAATTCAAGAATCGAGAGATGAGAATTAATGTTTAGGTCTAGTTTCAATAGGCAAGTTAATTTATAAATGGTTAAGTCAAGATTCGAGAGATGAGATTTAATACCGGTAAATTAATTGTGTGATTGTAATACGTAGCGAGAGCCCTTTACAATCTGGTTAATTGATGCATTGATGATTGACTATTATTGATTATTGGTATTACATGATAATTTCTTATTGGATTGTTTTAATGTTTTACAATTGTGGCTTGTAAAAGTATAGCAATATTAAATTGATGAATCGAGCAGATGTTAATTTGATATTAGAGGCTATTTTCAATAAGAACTTAGATCTAGTAAATTGCGAGAGCCTGTTAGATCTATGTTGATTAATAAATTGCGAGAGCCTGTTAATCACGTTATTTATGCAATGTCAATGATTGATTACTATGTTTTACCCTGGAGTATTATTTATTGGTGAACCTATGCCCTAGATCCTTTCATATATTGTTTTCTTCCCAATCTCAACCTTAGTAGTTTAGTCTTTTACTTAATTATAAATATTGGTTACTTAAATAATTTAGATTATAATATTTAATTAGGAGTAAAAAGACTTGTTTCCCTGTGGAGATCGACCCTACTTCCCTATCTACCTTAGTTAGTGATTTAGGTAATTATTTTTTATTAGGGGATACGACTTTACCCCGTCAGATGGTAAGGCTTTCCTGTAAGGGGTTGATATGGCCCTAATTTACACCGTTTTCTACTAGGGTTTCTTTTTGTTACCGTCGCGAAGCGGCGTTGGGGTCGTTGTTGCGGAATAAGGAACATAAAGAGGAAGAAGGGAAGAAGAAGAGGGTCGCGAAGAGAATCATGGGGCTGTGATGGTGATGGACGCGAAGATGGTGGTGGTTGCGATGGGCTGTGATGGTGATGGCGGCTGAGAAGAAGATGGTGGTGGTGGGTGGTGGTTGTAATGGTGATGGACGCGAAGAAGATGATTCGTGGTTGATCGGTGATGGTGATAGTGATCTACTTTTTTTTCTTTTTTGATTTTTTTTTTTTTTTATAAAATGCACAATATTACAAAAATGCCACCTGATATACAAATATGTATATCAGGCTGATATGGTGGTTGTCTTTCAGGAAATTTGAATCAGCACAAGTTAATCCGCCAAGTGAAAATAAATTATTCTTGCTGCCCCATTTGCGAAAACCCGATACCCGTTCACGCAATTGAATGGTATGATTTATTATTGATTCTATTTGTATAATAATCCCTCTTTCCGGATTAGTTATTACGAAGTATTAGTTTAAATTTTACTGTTGGTGTTATTATTAATTCGGATGGAGGGAGTGTATATATATACTTTCGTACTTTGAATATTATTAATGTATACTATGATTTTGTTATATAAGTAAGTTCTTGCGTTGGTTATCTAAATTGGAAATTAATGAGGGGTGTTAGTGTTTCGGGTGAAAACAATGGGACCTTGCCGAAGGTCCGCTGAAATGGAGAAGGCTGGATTCGGTCCAAGCTATGTTGGGCCCAAGGTTTCCTGCACAGTAAACACACGTAAACTAGCCTCGGGGGTGTTGCCGAGGAAGGCCCCTCCGATGCTAAAGTCAGTACAATGTGTAAGAAGAGGACACTATGCAAGAGAGTTTGTTGCTTGAGGCTTTTATGGAATATATCAGAATATATGGATGAGCATATGAATCTATGAATGAATCAGAATCCGAATCCCTCCATGAATGAATCAATATGATGGCTTTTATACCTCATCATACATGGAGAGGTTGGGCCTTAGCCCAATTGGCTTGCTTTGTGGGCTGACCTTTGACTTTAGCACAATTGGAGAGTTGAACCTTGACCTTGGGCTTTTAATTGGATCATTTAGTGCTTAGGCCCAATTGGACTAAATTGGACCCAAACAACTTGCCCCCCAGACCCGATTTGGAAGGATGACGGGTCGGGTTTGATTTAATTCAGAAAAGGAGGGAAGTAAATGATTTAATTAATCCAAAAATTTGAATTTAAACCGTAATTAATGAGATAACAACGGTTAAGGCAGTTGATTGTGGAAGTTGGACGGATAATGGGCAGTTTAATCACAAGATCATGTGTTTAACGGTTACTTAGTGGAGTATTTAAGAGAAATTAAAACGCAGACTCCTCGTATCCCATACCTGGAGATATAAACAGAGGCGCGTCATCTCTCCTCACTTATTCACCAACACAAACCCAGAATTCTCGAGAGAGAAACCAAGAACCCGCATCAAAACTTCGCAAATTCCCCGAGCATTAAGCTTAGAAACTGAGACTTGCCACTACGAACTCGTAAATCGGCAACTTTCGCTTCAGATTAAGGTAAATTACTTTGATTTCAGTTTATTTTTCTTCGAATTCGAACTCCTTCCCCTTTTCTTTCGACTTTTTTCTTCGAAATAATCAATGGCAAGAGGAGTTAGAGGTAGAGCCCGTGCTCCAAGAAGAGCAAGGCCGATTCCCGATCCTAGGAACAGGATTGGGACCTGGAATGGACAAAGGCCAGAGTCTGACCCTGCTGAAGGGATTAGGGCGACTCCCCTTTCCTCGGCTCCTCCTCAGAGAACGGAGGAGCCGAGCGCTTCTGGACGGGATGATGAAGTTCCCGCTGTCCTTTGGGATATCCTCCCCGGGTTTTCAGAATGGGAGAATGCCGAAGTTGCTTCGGCCATGATAAAGAACCGCCCCTACCCATGGTGGGTGGAGAATGCCGATCAATATCGATTTGCCGAGCAAATTGAGTTGCATTACGGCATTTTTGAAGCTGATGGGTATTGGTGCCGAATGCCCTCGGCATCCGATAGAATCCATCGTCCACCCCCGGGGTATGTGGGGGTGTACACAAGACAGCTTCAGTATGGGCTGAGGTTCCCTTTGGACGTATTGGTCCGAGACTTGCTGATCCATTACAACATCTCTCTATGTCAGTTAACTCCCACCAGCATCCGAAGGGTGATGACATACTTATGGGTCTGCAAGTTCTTCAAGTATGTGCCGAACCTGCACTGCTTCAAAAAGCTCCATCGGCTAGTGCCAAATATTCAAAGTGGGCACGGAAGCCATGGTTCTGGGTGGTACCGGATTGAGTCCCGGCCCCAATACCTAACCATGTGGCCAAACGACTCTTCAGACAAGGACTGGAGAGGTCAATGGATTTGGGTTAGGGCACCCACAGATCCGGGCCACCCTTGCGTCTTCAGCGCTCCCCGGTACCTCGCTGAGCCTGATCCCGAAATGGGAAGTCTAGGTCCCCCCGCAGATAACGGGGTGGATCCGAACCTTGATCAGCAACATATCTTCGGCAAGCTGCCGAACCGGGGGGGGCAGTGGCCGAATGCAGCATATCCCGGAGACTTGGCTCCCCGATACGCATTACGTTTTCCAAGAGAACATGCTAGCAGCTGTTGGCCTCAGCCGAAAGTTTAAGGATGGTAAGCTTCTTCGGCTGGGGCCGAGGCTTTTTAACTATCTCTTTTTCTTCTCTCGCTTCGCTTTTTCATGCTGTGCCAACCTATCTGAACTAACCTTTCCCCTTTCCTTTTTTCAGAGCGGGACGAGACCAACGTTGGCATTAACTACGCTCGTCTTGGTGTCAACCGAGAACGAGTTGTAACTGAACGGGCCCCGTCTATCACTGAGCCGAGGCATAGGGAAGTTCATCTAGACTCTTCCCACTTCCAAATTGAGGCTGTTGCTCTGTATCAGAGGCAGAAGCCTTGGTGGAAGAAGAGAGACCCCTGGTTTCAGCTGCTGGACGAAGAAGCTGAAGCTGCCCGTACAGCCGAAGAGGTTGCACTGGTTCTCGAAGCTTGCGAAGGAGGAGAAGGGTCCTCCAGAGCTGCTGAAGCAGAAGCTGCAGCTAGAGCAGCTGAAGAAGACGAGGCTTTGCTGAAGACCTCGGTGAGTTTTCAGACAACTTTGTCTTTCTTTTTTCTTTTCTTTTTTTTTTTTTTCTTCTTTTTTTTTTTTTTTTCTTTTTACTCACATTCTTCCTCCCCCCTGTCTGTTACAGTCTGAAGAGAGTAACAGACATAGAGAAGGGAAAGCTCCTGTTCGTCCCGAAGACCAAATACAAGGAGAGTCTTCAGACTCAGATATGGACGAGCAACCCCTTCTGAAAAGGCGCCGAAGGATGGCCATCATCGGCCCTCATGACTTTCAGCGGAGGCCGATGACCATCGGCGTTGCAATAAGGGAACCCGAGGAAGGCAATGGATCGCCGAGGGTTCCCCGGCCACCACCCCAATCGCCTCAAAAGACCCCTCCGCCACCTCCTGAGATGGAGGTGGATCAAAGAACTCCCGAATCTAAGGGAGGGGTCCAAGAAGAAATTAAGGAGAGTGCTGCTGAGCACGAAAACAAGGATGCCGTGATGTCCAGTGCTGAGGGCTTCACGACAGACATCGCAAGAGAGGTTGAGGCTTTCGTCCTCACCCCTGAAGAAGAGGAGGTCATAGTAATTGACTCCTCTGAGAAGGATGATGCTGAGCCATCCAAAGCTAATCAAGCTCCATCGTCATCCTTCCCTTCCTTCCAGACTCTGCAATCTGGAGAAATGGGTTTCTCGGCCCCCCGAATTCCAATCCCAGACCACATCTGGGACCTCATATGGGGTCAGAACCGAGAAGGAGCTGCAGCCTACTTCGGCGATTTTGCTGGCATGTCCGAAGTAGATAGGGCAAGGATCTGGTCGCTGAAGGCCACTGCTGGGATGGGCGAATCCAGCAGATCAGTTCCTGACCCAGCCAGGTCTAACCAACTGCTGATGATGCAGGTAATTTTCCTTGTCTTCATTTCCTCTGAAATTCAGCTCTATATATTTTTTATTTATTATTTTTTTTTGTCTTCCTGTTTTCAGTTCGTGCACAATCAGACTCTCACTGTAGAGCTGATAGATACCCTACAAGATAGGGTAGACGCTGCTGTGCACGACAAGAAGGTAGCTGAAGAGGAATTAAAGCTTGCTAAGCTGAAGCAAGCAGCAGCTGAAGAGAAGCAGCAGAAGGGTGAGGAGTATGAGAAAAGAGCTGCTGAAGCCCTCAAAACCTTCTGCGACGCTATGGAGAAGGAAGTTTTTCCCCCACTGATGGAAGGGGAAAAATTCCTCCAGGAGCATATGGGAGTGGACGTCTCCAAATTCAAGGCTGCTGTTGAGAGCCGTATTCAGGAAGGAGCTGCTGCACAAGCTGAAGTGCAGCAACGTCTAGAGGCTCTTGAAGCCAGCCGAATGGCTGCTGAAGAGCTGCTCCAGGCCAAAGATGTCCAACTCTCAGAGGCTGCTGCTGCTGCCGAAGCTCAGAGAGCTAAACTCCATGAGGCTGAGGATCAACTGATGACCCAGAAAGTTGAAGTGGCCCAAGCTCAGACAAAGGCTTCCCAAGTTCAGCAGGAGCTGAATGAGCTGAAAGGTTCCTCCTCCAAGCTCGCTGATGAGCTGAAGAAATCCAAGGAAGACTTGGAGGAGACCCAGAAGAAGCTGGCTGATGCTGAGGCTCTACTCAAAGTCCGTGTCTATACCCAAGAAGAATATGAGATGGGTTTCAGAAACGGGTTCCGAGTATGCCGAAGAGTCTGCCTTCATGCTGAACCGAAGCTGGACTGGTCTAAATGTGCTGAATGGGTCCAGAATCCCGAAGACCCTCATATGAAGTATGCAACTCCAGTCGAAGCTGAAATCCTTAAGGCTGAGGAAGCCGAAGAGGAAGCTGAGAGAATGGAGTTGGAAGCTGAACAGAGGGAAAGGGAGGCTCGGCAGAGTGCAAAGCCCGCTTCTTCTGCTGCTGGGGCTGAGGCCACCATGGGGCTCAACGCTGATCAGTCTGATCCTCAGGCTGAAGCATAGGAACTCGGGCAGTCGTCTTCAGAATCTTGCGGTTCATCATGTGCTTAACTTTAGACTTGCCGCTTTCTGAATTTTTTGCCTTGTTTTTTGCTTCAGTTTGCCTTGTCGTACAACAGTTTATTTTTTTTGCTTATGTACGTATTTCGGCAGCTGTTATTTTCCGCTTGTGGGCGGCTGCCGATACAGTTTAATTGAACTTGTAGCTCAATTTCTGAGCATGAATTATTAATCTGATGCTCTTTTATTCAGTTGCTTTATTTTTGAATGCTTTACTGTTTCTGTTTCTTCAATTCCGCCGTACATACTTGCTCTGAGAGTGCTTCTTGCCCCCCAGAAATTGAATTATGACTTC